TACCGTTCCTCCGTCCCTCCCTCCCTCCTCTCTCTCTCTCTCTCTCTCTCTGTCTCTCTCTCTTCCCCCACCTATCTAGAATTGAAGACAAAAAAGAAAGTATTGATACGAATTTCATATTTCAATAGGTTTCTTTTCATATATGATTGACTCTATATGATTGCTTTCCATATGTGTAACAATCCTTTTCGTATATGATTGACTCTATGTGATTGCTTTTCGTATGTGTAACAAAAAAAATATATGGTTGCCTCTATGTCGTTTATTGTGATGGTATTCTCTTCATTCTGTTTGCCCAAGCTGATGCAATATCTTACTATTCTTTCAGACTACAAGGGTGAGATTTGTCTTTGATGAAGAGGCCCTGGTTTGTTCACTCAATCCCCTAAAAGATTGACACAGTTTAGGGCCTGTTTGCATGTATATAAGGCAGCATACTTTAGAGCCTGTTTGCATGTGTATAAGGCAACAAAGTTTAGGGCCTGTTTGCATGTGTACAAGGCACTGCTTGGTGATGTCGGGATACGTACAGTATCTGGACTTTTTTGTGTGGAAAATGAAGGACATCCCAATGGTACCATCTTTCTCAGAAAGGTGTCCTGCGGCTGTATAGATTTTACTCCATCAAGTGCAGCCTAACGTGCATGTAAAGAGGCCCTTAGTTTTATATGAAAAATTATTTCGAGAAATTTGGCTTTCTTTCAGTTTTGGAAATGGTTTTTGTTAGAATTCTACTAGCTGATAATTTTCTGACAACCTTGTGTTAATATATTGCCTGAAGTGAGTGCTGCCCTTAGTCCTCAACAAATAAATGTTCTAGTGTTAATCTTTCTCTATAAATGTTTAGATCAGCCTTTCTCATTGAGGCATTTCGCATAATTTTATATTGGCAAGTTTTTGTTGGGAGTTAAAAAACTTGAGAGTGATATAATTACTTAAAAACCCAGCAAGAAAAAGGTGAAACACTGAAAATAACGCATAAATAAATTGGAAAATATTCTAAAGAAAATTTGACAAGAACTCAGGAAAACTTGGCAAGAACTTGGGAAAATGTGAAATATTTTCATGCAATTACATACAAATTGCTAAATTAACTTGTCAAAAGCATTGAAAACATAATCTAAAGCGAGTTTAGAAGTTCGGGAAAACTCAAGATGGACTTGGTAAAATGTAAGTAAGATATTTACATATAATTACATGAAATATTGTGTATGTGTATGTATGCCTGCACATGTGTTTATAATTGCATAGAGGCATGGAAAAGTTGTGTGTAGTTATCTGAGAAAAAAATGACATTGGAAAAATATGTTTAATTTTTTGAAAGTAATGAGACAGTAAACCCCAGAAAACGCTGATAGACTTTTTCTTATTTAAAAGTGATAAGTTTTACTCTTTGGAAAGTAATGAAATAGGCATACCCCATCACAAGTAGCAAAATATTCTATCTTGGTAAAAAAAGGAAAAAGTCTTGTGAGGATACTTATATACCAGGTTGTATTATGCATACAAATTCATTTGCAAAGAGTAAAGTTCCTAACAAGGTGGAAATCCTAAGATTTGATTTGAATTTCTAAAACGCCTGTGCACTATAAAATCTGATGTTTGTAGAAGCTGTCATTCCATATGTATTGTCCATTAAGCCCTAGCAGTTCATATTTTAAGAAGGAATCATTATAGAAAAACCCTAGTACTCTATGTTAAATAGATAAACCAAAGAAATGTAGTTGCTAAAACTTGTGCTTTAGCTCGCTATTTTCCATTTTGTGAAGGTTGAAAACTAGCGATTACTTTGCTGCATGAGTTCTTACTCGATCGTTTTGGGTTTGCTCGAGGAGCTCTCCACCTGTGAGCACTTGGCTGGTCTTTGAAAATCTCATCCTGTACTATTACCGTGCTTTGAGGGAAGCCATTTTGCCTAGGGTCATTTGAAAAGTCAATATTTTGACAATTGGTATTTTAGAAATTTGGGTTATTGGTTTTAAATTTCTGCGAAGTGTCTCTGTGGCAACATTGATTTCTATGGGTAAGATTTTCATTAAAAAATATATCTTAAGCTAGTTGAAATAGGAATTTGTCTCCAATAGAAGGCCGTGGTTTCCTATTAGATGCTTGAAATGATCATGGTATGCAATCCCATAACAGTTATTCTATTTAGCACATTTGATACCCCATTAGGGCTGATGTGTGGCGGCCTGTGTTGTCCCGACACTGCACCTAGGGTTTGGCTTTGTGTGTTGCTACGCTGACACATATTGACACCACTAGATATGGATTGGATTAAAATATTATTAAGATAGAACAATAAGTTCAACTGGAGGCTTGAACTTAGGATGTGTTGAACAATTGCATCATGACCTATCACTCAATGGGCTTGCTCTCATGTGTTTAAAAATGTGAGAGGTTTGTTATATATGCATTAATAAGTATGTTTTATAAGCGAAAGTTTATGTCAGAGAAAAAAGAAAAAAGGAGTTGGAAGGCAGTGTCTTGTTGTATTCACTTTTCTGGGAGAAGCAGTAGACACTTTTAATTCATCTTTGACACTGACACAAGTGTTGATGACCTTGCAACATTGATTAGCAGCTCATAACCTTAATAGTATGTGGAAAAACATCTTCCTAAAAATGATTAAAAAGGAATTGGCTAATTAATCCATTTTTTATGGTGATAAAATGTCTAAAACTCTGACTTGATGGGGGATTCGCCAGGCCCCAAAGCCAAGTTATACTGAGTGAACTGGGCCACGGCACAGTAAAAGTCAGTCAAGTCCATTGATAAAACTGCAGAAGGCTTGTTGGGCATGTCTCCACAAGACTCACTATTGTGCTGAGGCGATTCGACTCGGGCTTGTTGCAAAGTTTTGAAACAGTGGTGCCAAATAATAAAGTTTACTGGACACAGTGAATGCTAAAAAACCCCATGTGTGTGCATCCATGCGCGAATGTATGTGTGCTTGAAAAGTATGGTTTTCCACCTTGGAAAGCCTTTCATACGTGTATCTAACTAGAAAACTTGATATCTAGCGATAACTTCTCTTTTTCTTTTGTCAATTTTGAAAGGAAAACTGATTACCAAGGGCCAAATGGAGCCCTGAAATAATTTTCTAACGTCTATTTGAATTTTGAATTGAAATTTGAGGAATTAAAACAAATGTAGATGACCGTGCCCATCTGAAAGATTTTTTTAAATGTTATTTCTAAATTTGTCTTGAGTTTTTTATTATTGTGCGAATTCAGGGGTACACTGTCAGACAAATGGATGTTGGAAGTAAAAATTTCAAAATTATAATTCACAATCTTGGATTGACGTTTCCTAGAAGTGATCTTGGGCACAATTGAAAGTAATTACTTAGAATTACACTATTTATAATTCTGATTCTTCCATAAGCTTGTTTATTATGTCATTTTTCAGGAAGTAAAAATTGGGGATCAGCTTCAAGAGTCAGGCGAAAATGTATTTGTGGGTGGGAAGAACCGTTGGAAGTGAGTATTCTTTGAGCTTTCGAGGTTATACATTTCTTCCTGCCTTTGGGCTCATTGATACGGGTACTAGGCAGTGATTTGATGCTTCCTGTTGCTTGCATTTCAACGTTTTGTTACATATTTAATATTAACATTAATTATTTATGTTATTCTATTTTTTTAATAATTTTAAAAAAATGTTACATATTAGATTGCTTCATGTTGTAGTTAAAACTACACACGCGCACACACACACACACAAAAGAAAAGTACTATGTAATTTAGCCTTACCACTTAGTTAGGCTGTCTAGCCCCCAAAAATGATGAGGACTTTTTTATTTGAAAATTTGGGGACCATCTATGGTTCACCTTGTGACAATTCAAAAAAAAGAAAAAGAAAAAAAGCTTGTAATCCCATAGATCTATCATTCCTTAAAAGGACAAATCAGACTTGGGGGTGAATTTGATTTTGGAAATCATCTGAAAATTTTCGTATCAAAAAGATATCCCTAGATTTACTTTCTTGGGGGCTCAACCTATTTGTGGTTAGTCCAGACCACCTCAGATGCACCTCTATTGAATGTAGGATATCAGATAGCTAGGGTTTCTACGGTGCATTATTTGGGCGTATTAATAACACAAAAGATGCTTCTTCCAATTGACAGAGAAGTAGCACCCACTATTTTTATTATTAACAATAATGGTAGCATGGTTACTGCTCACTGTGATTTTTATGTATAGTCAGGACATAAAAATAAGGGGGCCTCACATATTCTTGCGGGTGGTCTATTTTTTTTTGTTCACCATAAATAAATTCCAAACAGATTCACATGTATGCATACACAATAGGCTCACATGCCAAGGGCACACATATATAATATGCTTACGTATCATAGTTAAAAGCACTGTTGCAAAGGGTGTCGCATTTTGTGGTTTACAATTTGGACTTGGGTTGCGACTGACCAGGGTCCTAAGCCTGAGTTTGCAGTCTGGCTCGGTGGTGTCAGCAGTGCTATTGGGCCGAATATCGTGAAAGTTACACAGAAGGGACCATCACCTGGTGAGACTTGCATGAGTCTCAAGGTTTCTGATCAGAATATGGGACCCTGCTGAGTCCAAGTGACTTGGCGAGTTTGACTTGGGTCAGTGATCTGCAATCACTAGCTGCAAATAGTAATGAGCTTTGGCTGCTACAGCTAAATAAAGCCATTATTTCTAATGGCCTCTACAGCTCTACATGGTTTAAAAAACGGCAGCTACACCGTTTAGTAACTGTTACTTGTGTGAAAAAACTCTGCTCTTACTTGGCCCCTGCACGAGCCGAATTACTCATGCGAGTCCGAATGGACTTGCCCATGTACAAATCCAAAAAGGGCCAAAAAAATGAAAAAATAAAAAAAACACAAAAAATTCTTGAAGATAGAAAATAGTAGAACTATATTGTAAACAACATTAAAAGTCTAAAAAAGATGGAAAACGATATGTAAAAGATGAAATTTGAAAAATTGATTTATAGCTGGAAACAATTTAGAGAAATCTAAAGAAAGGGTAAAATAGAATCATCATAAAAATGTCAAAATTCTATACTGTAAACAACAAAAGATGGAAAACAATACGTACAAGATGATATTTGAAAAAATGATTTATAGCTGGAAACAATTTAGAAAAATCAAAAGAGAGGGGAAAATAGAATCATCATAAAAAATGTCAAAATTAAGAGAATTTTTAGTTTTTTAGACATGATTTAGTAAAAATATTTATATTTTTATATTTATGTTTATGCATGATTTAGTAAAGCATATGCATATTTGTTTTATGTGTCCCGAGTTTGTATCCAGAACTCGGCTCAGCAAGCTGGCTAGTTCAAGTAATTCAGTTGAGTCCCAATCGACTGGGCCTTGTTTTAAAACCTTAAGTATTAATACTCTTGGCTACACACGGTTATAACAGTTTACGACCTGTTTTAAAACCTTTATGTGAACATTCATGTTGTGATGTTACTTAAAAATGAAATCATTTTGTGAGATTGAGTTCCATCTGGAACTCTTAGAGCATGTTTGTCTTGCCGACTATATTGTCGTGCTATGGCAATGTAGCAGCAGTAAATCAACATAATCTTTCTTGGTTTGTTTGGATAGCCCCTGTGCCATCAAAGCAGATCATAAAATTCCATGGTTTTTGGTCTTGTTGTAATTAGCTTGGACCTAATACCTGTATTATACTTGCCCTCTGGATATTACATTGTGATGGGATTACATCCCATGCATGCTGTCTTTACATTTCGAGCATTTGGGGGTTCTTTGTAATTTGTTAACATTTAGATCTCAAGTGTTCTCTCTCTCTCTCTCTCTCTCTCTCTCTCTCTCTCTCTTTCAAAATCAAAATGCAGGTATTCAACATTTGTAAATTGGGAGCTTTGGTGGCCAAATTTCCCCATACTGGTGTATTTCAAGGAGATGCAAACAAAACCTGAAGGACAAGTGCATTTCTTTCCTGTAATTTTTGTAAGATTGGCCCTTTCACACTGTCATCAAAGTGTAGTTTTCATGCTCCTTCTTAGGATCGCCAATTTCTCTTTTTTAAAAGGCAAATCTTGGATTGACATACTCATTAGCATGATTCACACTGCTTATGATGAATGCTTAACTAAAACACCTATTTATCTCTCTTCTTTTAGGTTGAATGGACCACATGTTTCTGTTGCTTTTACTAAGTAGCGTGATTCGCGCTTGTGATTTTTCTTCACACTGCTTATGAGGAATGATTGACTAAAACACCTTTTTTTTCTCTTCTTTGGTTGAATGGATGACTTTTTTCTATTGCTATTATTAAGTAGAGTGATTCACGCTTGTGATTTTTCTATTCTTCAAATGATTCACACTGCTTATCTGGCTTTTTTTTTCGCCCTTTTTTCCTTTTCTGCAGAACGGGAAACAGATCTATGAAGTTATGTTGGAGCGTGCTGGACCATCTAAGACAAGTGGTCCGAAGCAGTCCTGATGCTTGATATCTTTAATGCACACATTCTGTAAGTTTTTTTATGCTTATTTGGTCCTTATGATAATAAAGTTATACGAAAATTTAGTTATTTATTAATTTTTCTGTTCTTTTGTAGAAATGATATGATTGTTCTGCTTTTTTAGGTTTTATATATAAGGTTTTGAAGCAATTGAAACTTTTTCTTTTTAAAGGAGAATTGGCAATTGAAACAGAAAACTACTAAAACTAGGGCTTGACACATGGGGAGTAAACTACCTCTTGATTTTGCTCTCTATTCACCTGCTTGAAAGTAACTTTCTCACCCGGACATATATCTTTAGGGCACATTTCATTGGTCTCTGCCAACTGTAGCACTTCCCTTGACTGAATTATGGGAAGTGTGATGCAATTTTGGAAGCTGTGGCTTCCAAAATAGTTATAAATGTTGGATGAGGTGGCTTCTATGCCACTCCATGGATGCTGCCACGTTGGAATTTTGTGGAAGACTTAGCTTTGTGAGCTGGATCTTCCACCAATCAAACGGCTCTTAATTTCATTTAGAATTGCAACATACTTCCATGGAATCCTTTGTTCACCGATGCAAGCTTCATTAGCACTCATTGAATCTCTTATAACACTTATATTAGAATATTAATCTCCCGTTAATCTCGCCGTCATTTCTGCATCATTTGCAGTCGTGAATCCTGACCCTGAGAAAGATTAGTTTCATTTGTACATATATTCCCTAATCAATGCACACCCCCTGGCCTATTTTGGATTGCCAAATTAACTCCTATCAAAATTTAACTTCACACAATTTCCCAACGGTGGTTGCCAAATTCTACCTCTTTGTACCATATTTCCACTCATATTAAACACTTAATCCAAATGATAGATCGGATCAAACTTAGAAAACTCCTCCACTTCTTTTCTTTTTGATGCCTACTCTACGACTTTTCCACGAATTTTCTCAATAATTGTATTTACCTCTAGCACCTTTTCTTCGAAATCGCGCATGTTCCTTTCTTTCCATATTTCCCACATCATTGCTGCCCTCAATATTCTTCAAAACACTTGCCATGATATCTTTGGCAAACTCAAATGATCAAGCTCTCTCCTCTCTCATGAAGCCTGCTCACCTTTTGAGTTTTTGAGTTTTGATGTGGATCCTTCATTCTATTAATTTGCAGTTCCTAAGTAGTGCCATACTGGTTGATATATGGGAAATAAAGGTTCTTTTTTTTCCATTATTTTTAAGGTTTTTTTTTAGGTGGATTTTGGATATAAAAATTGCATGTCCTTCACGCTGTGTTTATGAATTCGAAAAAAAAGAAGAAAAGAAAACAAAGAAAAAGGCTCCTGAACAATTTTTTTTTTTTAATATTAACTTTGGCTTTTGAACCTTTAAAATGGTCTAATTGGCTTTTTTTTTTTTCCATTAATCCCGATTCTTTAAAGATCATAATATCTGCACTATTTTTAGACCTCCAAATTAATATAACTGAGGTGAAAAGGAATTTAAGACGATTTTGGATGTGCTTCGGTCTTATATAGTTCAAAAACTAGGTCAGACACATGGGACAACCAGTCTGATAATACTCTGTACCAGAATAACCCCGTTTAGAAAGAGACAGAGAATTTGGTCTAGACTAATGTATTTCTCATTAATTTTTTCTAATTTATTCTGTCATAAATTTCTTGTAAACTTTTGATAGTTAATGGAAAGATTGTGGGAAACGTTTAAAAAAAAAAAAAAAGGAAAAAAAAAAGAAAAAAAAAAAAAAAGGAAATGGCTATTAAAAAGTAGGCATGTGATGGTCCCAATGAAGCACACATACATAAATTCTGACTTTCAAGTGTATAGGCTTATCACAATGGTTGAAAAAACGGATCGGTGACCTGGATCGGGCTTTCAAAAAATCGATTCGGATCGACGAATCGGCGATCCGGATCGAGAATCGGATGAATCGGTCAGAATAAAGCTTAAAAAAAATTCGAAAAAATTATTAAAATTCATTATAAATATTGTTTTTTAAGAATTCAATAAAAAATGAGGGTACTCCATTAAGAATTTTCATGTTTTTGAATGAATATGCGAATATTGATATGTTCTTTCTCTACATGAACCGCCATTCAGCATTTAATTTACAGTATTTCGTGTTCATCCCTACACTGTTGCTGTTGGGACTCGATATGTGAATAATATGGCTGGGATAGGGTGGTCTCAGAATCATCATCTCTCTCATTTTCTCTTTGAATAATATGGAATTAAAAAAAAAAAAAAACAAATTTTCAAAAAAATCGATCATGGATTAAAAAAATAATCACAAATTTTCAAAAAATTCTATCATGGATTACAAAAAAAAATTCGATCATGGATTAAAAAAAAAAAATCACAAATTTTCAAAAAATTCAATCATGGATTACATAAAATTCGATCATGGATTACATAAAATTCGATCATGGATTACATAAAATTCAATCATGGATTACATAAAATTCGATCATGGATTACATAAAATTCAATCATGGATTACATAAAATTTGATCATGGATTACAAAAAAAAACAAACAAAAAAAAACAAAAAATTCAATCGTGGATTACAAAAAAAGAAAAAAACAGTTCGATCATGGATTACAAAAAATTCAATCATGGATTACAAAAAAAAAACAAACATTTCGGTCATGGATTACCAAAAAAAAACAAACATTTTGATCATGTATTACAAAACATTCGATCATGGATTACAAAAAATTCTATCATGGGTTACAAAAAAAAAAAAAAACAAAAAAAGCGATCATGGATTACAAGAAAAGAAAACAAACATTTCGATCATGGATTACAAAAAATTCTATTATGGGTTACAAAAAACCAAAAAATTCGATCATGGATTACAGAAAAACAAAAACAATTCGATCATGGATTACAAAAAAATTGATCAAGTATTACAAAAAAATCTATCATGGATTACAAAAAAAAAAAAACAGTACGGATTCGCCGATTCATTGTTCGGACTCGCCGATTCCGTACAGTGAATCGGCGAGTCACTGTGCGGAATCGTCCGGTCCTCTTTAGAACCGGACGATTTCCGATTTTTTAACAGATCCGGTCCCTTTTCGCGAATTTCGAGTCGAACCGAGCGAGTCCGGTTCGACTCGGCGTTTTTTAAAACGCTGGTTTATCATATCATCCAATGATTCCGATCCCTGTAGAATTTGGCCTTCGGATCCCTCATCGCGTAATATCTCGGGATCCGGCAACGTTCCGTCTGTCACGTTCATGATAGAGAACCGGATATCCCAATCCGGATATCCTCATCAGTTCCGGACATACCAATCCCTTGCATGGACATCCTCATCCGTTCCATATTTTCATTAATTTTTTAATTCAAATCTTTTTGGTCGGAGAACTTCGGTGAAAACGGGACGTCTCAATCCGTTTGACGTTTTCATTATTTTTTAATTAAAATAATCAGGTAGGGACCCACAAATAGCTGGCGTCAAACTTCAGAGGGCGGCCGGCCGGCATTTGTTGACCTTTGAGGCCTGCATTTCTCCCGCATTTCTTCTTTGTGTCGCCTAACATGTGATGTGATGGGCCTGTACTGAATACTGTCCATTTAGCAGCATTAGCTGACGGGATTAATATTAGGCTATTAAGCTGGCCCTCGGTTGTTGGGATTAAAAGAAAAAAAAAAAAACGTATTATAAAAAAAGTAAAAAATAATACTAATACCTATTGAACGTTAAAAAATAAAAAAAACCAGTTTATGAGATATGTTATGAGTAAAAAATAACATTAACTCGTATCACTTTGGAGTTTATTTTTAAAGTACTTTATCAATTATTTCATATTGAAAGTATGAATTTATTTATTTATTGTTTTAATTATTAAAACATAATTGTAAATTTATGTTTTTAAATTTTATATTTTTGTCTATATTAATTATTATACATTAGATTTATTTATTTGTGAGGGTCATACTTTTGTTCTTTTTTCTATTAAATCAAAATGTCAAAAACTGTTGTGTTTTTTTTTTCACTTTAAATTTCATTTGACTACAAAAATAGATGTAATAGATAATAAACACTCATATGTAAGACATGTTCTCAATGCTTATGTATTTTCAACAAAATAATAAAAATTGTAATACAATACCACTATTTTTTTGAAAACCTAAAAAAATAGCTTTTTAAAGAAATTTTAGTAATTTTTTTAGTGCCAAATTTTACGATCCGGCCGATTCTTTGATTCTGATCGTCTATCCATCGATCCGACCCGATTTTCAGGATGGGCAATCCAGATTATTGATATGTTTTTTCAAACATTGATATCATGAATAAGTAAAAAACCGATCCGTTTTTCAAACAGTGATATCATGAATAAGTCAAAACAAACTTAACTAAACTAAGATAGGTCTACCGCGTTAGCGGGTCAACTCGGATTAGTTGGTGTGGACCCGCTGAAAGTGGGCAAACGTATAAAGTCCATCGTCCCATGCTTGGAAGTGCCGTCACGGCTTGGTTCACTAAACAAGTTATTTTGGCAGTTTACCCAAACTTATCTGGCCATGCCAAATGACGTAGATATTCCCTAGTCAAATGATGAAGATATTTATGTTTGTTTTGAGTTTTAAACATGAGATGTAGTTTTCATTACAATCTCGTTTTTTTTTGGGGTAAATATGGGTATTTATTTTATTTAGGTCTTAAGCTCAAAATATGTATTTTTTTTTATCAAAATATCTTCGTTCGAGCTTTGGATCTGAAATAAATGAGGGTATTTTAATCATTTTACACACTTATTTTGTAGTTTAAATCAACATGATAAATTGCATATTGTAAGCACATACACTTCGGCTATCGGATACCATTGAATAAGGTAGTAGTTAAGGAAGTGCAGTTTTCCTACACAAGGACTGATAAATTTTTTGACTCCTGACTATTTCATTGGAACACGCTCAATCCACTTGATTTCTATTCTAACCGCTAGAGGTAATTGTGATATTTTTTAATCTAAGGTGCATGGTCTTATTATAGAAATTGCTGATTTTATACTGTAGAAGTGAGTTGTCCCTCAAAAGGTATCAGAAAAGGTTGTTTTTGTTGCTAAAAAAACCTCCAATTGATCATCTCGACCTTGAGATTTATGAACATGCATTGAAAGGCAGGATGCAAAAATGGACAAAAGATGGAGTTCCAAGTCCTACATTATTTATACTGCCCATTTTCAAATGTTGATGGATTCGATTGGTTTGTACATTTTTTTTAATTTTATCAACATAGGAACTATGTCATCCGGCAGAGTTTGAATGTGTACCTTACTTTGATTTTTATTTTTTTTTGACAAATAGCACTTTATTTATTAATGTAAAAAAAAAGAAGTACGGGTTACAAAATTATTTACCATAATTGAAGGTAAAGAGGAGCCATTTTTCGCCAAAGAATAAGCCAAATCATTGGCCTCCCGAAAATATGTTGAAAAGAAATCGTTAAGGACTCTGCCAAATCAAGAATTTGAAGCCAAATTGAACGCAGCTTCCACTGGACACGCTACTTCTTGTTGCACCATCTAATCATGTTTAAAAAATTAAAGTATAAATCTCACCCATATTATATAATTTGGCTTATACTTTCTCTTGCTTCGGGGTTCCAAATCATAACAAGAGCATTTCGAGTAATGTAATAAAATAGTCGATGAAGTACCTCAATGATGGGCCTGACTGGACCGGGCCCAAAGGGGTCCTAACCAGGTCCAGCCCATTAAAAATGCAAAAAATTGAAATAAATTTGAAGGAAACTATAGGCCTGGGTTGGACTGGCCCTGTCATGGCCCTGGCTTGGTCTGAACCTCAGGCCAATGTGTGCCTATCGGGCTACCTTTTGTGGCCTAGGCCCAACATTTTTAGTACCGGGCCAACTGGGCCGCGTCGAGCCACCCGTCCCATTGCTAATCCTACTCAATGAATGACTAGAATCCCTTGTAATTTAAGAAATCTTTTTGATAACTCGTGAGTTTCACGGGGATTTTGATCTTTTTACTTTTAGCCGGTACATTCCTCAGGCATTTATAGTGTGCTCTCACATGAGAGTACTCTATATTAAATTTTGTCTCGTATTTTAATAAAAAGAAGTTTGAATTTTGAGTTTTGAGTTCTTAAACACTCGGATATCAAAATTCGACAATCTTGATTCAATCTTTTAAGTTCTAACTTTTATGCGTGTCACAACTTTGCGTCTTAGGTACAATGGTAATTTTTGTCTTTTATAATTCAATATGGGTGGCTGTAAAAGTGTCATTGATTAGACACTAAGTTCCAAAAAAAAATAAAATTTCTTGGTCATTGTGACTCAATTCAAGCCATTCAATTTGAAATTTAAGGGACAAAAATGATTGTGACCTCTTTCTACAAAAGATGATGAAAAAAATTTATGTAAGTGCAAGGCTCTAAATAATCAAATTAAGGCACATTTCAAAAATTTCACTAGAAGAGGTTTGTTTTGATGCCCAAATATCTTCAAATTGATGACCTTGACCTCAAGGTGTATGAACATCATAAAACAAATGGATTTCAAGTTTTGGAAATAGTGCATCATGTAATGTATTTTTGGACTGTTAATTTTCAAGATTTTCAATTTTTCATAGATCTGCTTGATCTACGCTATTTTTTAAGCTTTACATTTTTGTAATTAGATATAAAAATATATTTTAAGGCTATCATAAAGATTTCCAGTATTGAAATCACATTTTTCAATACTATTTGAAGGT